AGAGAGAGAGAGAGAGAGAGAGAGAGAGAGAGAGAGAGAGAGAGAGAGAGAGGATATGAGTACTAGGTCTGAGGGATTGAGGAGATGGGATAATGATATTTTGGGGATTTTAGTTTAGCTAGCATGTAATAATTGCTAAAAAGGGGACTGCAGCATAAAATATCACAATTCAAGGAGCTGAACCACATGGAGAAAATTAGGAGGGGCTTTACTCCCTTACTAGCTTTATTGTTGCTTATGATGGTACCCTTGGATGGTCTGCGTGTGTTAGGGTAGTAAAGTTGTATGCAAAATACTAATCATAGGACAATTGTCATTTTCAATTATTAGGTTTTGTATTGACTTGATGACGGAAATTATTCATCTACCATCATCATTAGACTTTGTCTTCTTCAAAAAATTTATTGGGTTACCAAATCCATCTTTTATCTTTGGGGTTTCCCCCAAAACCACCTTACAATACAATAATTATATTGAAACCATTTTTCAATTTCAGTTTATAAATAAACAATCTTTAAAATGTGGTTTTGTTGCAATCAAACCATCTCTCAGCCAAAATTTACGCTAAAAATCTAAAATTACCTTTAAGAAGCTCACATTCAAGGCATATGACTATTAGTGTTTAGGCCTTGTTAAGATACAACTCGCATACCTTAAACTTGAGTTTTTTAGGCTTGTTTTTATTTTTTTATTGAAAATTTGACGGGAATGTTGTTAATTACAACAAAAACTCACCTTAAAGATGTTTTATGTATAAATTGAAATTGAAAGATGATTTTCGTATAAGTACCATATTTTTAAGGTGATTTTTTTGGGGGGGGGGGGGGGGGGGCCCCCTTTNCCTTTTATCTTTTAGTTTTATTTTCTTTTGAGGAGAAGAAAACCCATATAGGAAGAGCTACTCTGGTAGGGGAAGAAGGCTCATGAAAAGATATTATACTTTTTTAAAGACAATGTAAACAATGACTTTTTGCGGTGAGCAAATGTATGTGATTGCTATTTGCACCGATCCGTTTCTCTTGAATATCGCACTGGTTTATTTGCTAAGAATGAAATATTACAACATGTGATTTTGGAGGAATCATCAAAATTAGGGAGATACATGAGTAGGAGTAGGATTCAATTAACTCCCGGACATAAAAAAAAAAAAACGCATGCGTGTATGCACGCAGTCGAGGAATTTGTTTAAATGGGTGGAGTAAATAGAAATTTTAATGATGTGAGGGACTAATTTAACAATATGAAAGGTTTAATAGACCAATATCTAAAAGACCCCATTTATTTAATACGTAGTTTCTAAGAAATATACAGATAAAGTTTGAATCAGGAAAAATCACTAATAACTGAAAACACAAAAGTGCATTACGTTTGCAACTTAGCCAAAAGTGCATTATGCTTGCAACTTAGCCAAACAAAGGTTTTTGGGATGCTCAAAATACATCATTTTCTCGAGTACCTAAGTAGGAAATGATCTGCATTATATTATAGTGGTTATTGGAGATAAACCCCCTCGTAGCATCGCCCAATATCGAATACATGCCTTATAGTTCTATTGTTGCAGATAGACCACCAAGATAAAAAAAAAAATCTTTTAACCTCAGGAGGACTATTTTTTCCAAAGAAAAGTAAGGGGAGAAGGCATTTTAATGTTTTTCTGAGGTAACAGAATAAAAAAAATTCACTCGGGGTATATACCTGCAACAATAGCAATATAGGCGTTTATGCGTAATAATTGGGCAACAGAACAGGGAGAGTGCCTGCAATTAACACATTACTATAACCCCGTATCCAAACTGAGCTCTGCTTGCTCTCTTTGATAATTGCTATGTTGCATCTTTCAAATATGCCAATTGTGAAAACACCCAATACCAGACCAGGACCTGCGGTATGACAAGCATAGGATATAAATATGCGTTGAACAACGGAACATATACATCCACTGCGCATTCAGACCCATACCAGTTCATAACAATTCCACAAGACTCGACATCGACATGATAACAGCTTTAACTAATACATTCTGAAGACACCCCTAATTCAAACCACATGGCTCTTTCAAAAAGGTACTGAACAGCGAGAATGGAAAAGTACTGACAATTCAGCTACAAAGTGCTGCTGAGATAATTTCCTCTACATTTCGATACGTATACACAAACCCCATAATTGTTGCAGAAGCTTCACAATACTACTAAATCTAAGAAACACAGAGTCAAGACGGAAAACATAAGGAATAAAACTTCAAAAGTTCATCGAATCACCAGAGCAAACTGCATCTCAGAGATTCGGAAAGGACACAAAATCTAAACAGGTCAGATACAGACATTGCAGTTTGCACCATGCAACTTGCAGTGCAAGTTGATTCCTGCAGAAATCAGAAAAAGCATACTGTAAGTCCAAACATTCAATGGTAAGAAAGACTTTGAGCTATAATATTTTTAACTGGAAAGATTCTTCAAATTAACTTTGAGAAAAGTTATGAACTTCAGAATTTATATGGAAATTTGCACGTAAGTATAAGATTAGATGTTCAGTCTTCAATCTGATTATTCACTAGCAATATAAAGAAATTGCACATCGTCACTAAAGAATTTTTACAGAAGCTTTTTAACACAGGAAAATCTGAAAGATTCTGGAACTTTTGCTAGAAGATAATAACAGAATCTGCAGCAAAAGATTGACTGGTTTCAACTTTCATGTTGATGCAGAATTGTGCCAAATACAAACTTAAATTTATTTTGAAAATACTAATGACTAAAACAATAGGAAACACCCCAAAGCACATAACACACAAGAAAATATTTATGGTTATCAATGGCAAAATGCCTTAAAATGAAAACAAAATAAAATCTACAAATTACGAGGAGCAAATCTTAAGACACCACGATTGTCCAATTACGCAACAAAACTCAAGAACTAAAATTAAATTCCTTCTAATTACATACAACCAGCACTATTGTAATCCTGATTAGTCAATCATCGAACTGCCTGCATATTTACTTAAACCCAAGGGGACAAGGCCATTCACAGGCAGAGGTTAATAATAAATATACACACAAATCAGAAAGATGACAACACTGATTGCTAATTGTTTGTAATATATCTGATAGAAAGACCACAGTAAGCTATGTCATACAAAAAGAAATGTACCACATATCCCATAAATGAAACCTTAAAAAAAATGTTAAAACTATTCCCACAGAAGTAACAGAATATGCTGTTTGGTTTCTTTTTCTCGGCGTATATGTAAACATTCATTGAACTCAATCCTACTTCTTGATTGGATATGTTTGCAATTCCTGAACTGAACTTAATACATCTTTGACCAAGACCAATGTATATGGATAATGATTACTGTTCAATACCCAAGAAAGATGTTAGCACATATATTACAATACATATAACTGAATATTCAATTGTTCTCAGAAAAAATTTCAATCGTCCACCTAACTGAAAAGTGAGGTGGTAACCTGGTTGATATTCTATATGGAATTGGAATCCCTCACTAAAATAAATATAATGACCACTGTAACTCTGGAACTTCAGATTTACTCTTTTTATTTTTTTAAGTGCAACTACATATCAAGTCATATTTGAGGATGACATTAGTACCTCCATAATCAACACTTCATATGAAAGATTAAATGTGTGAAGCAAAGATCGGAATTAGTTTTATCAAATCATGAAATGTTTGTGTATGGACCTATAAGATATAGGTAGCTGATATCCGAGTACATAGAAATGTTTGTGTATGGACCTATAAGATATAGGTGTTGGAAGGAAGGCTCAGATATCGGGCACATGAGGACATATGGACAGTAAATTAATTACAGAGACACAAGTAATTGTGTCATAGCCTAATAGCATGCAAACAGTTAAACAGAAAGCCTGAAAAGGGCAAGTCATAAAGCGAAGGGGAAAATCACAAAGCCTGACATTCCAACTAAAAGTCACCAGCAAGCCATAAAGTAAATGGGAAAACAATAAAGTCGAGTGTATCAGAAATCTAATATGAGAAGAATAAGTTACATTAGGGAAATAAACATTTTGACAAGAAAATTACATCTTTTGAGTCCCTTAAAGTGTGTTTGGTTTTTCTTTTTCTTATATAAAAGTCATCTAAAAGGACTTGCCCATATGTGCATTCAAGAAAGGATTTATACATGATTAAGGTGTTAAATGCTTTGAAATTATCCTTATCAACCAAGATTAATATATCAAACAAGATTTATTGGAATAATTTTTCGATAAGAATAGATATGACTTATGAGAAAGAATAAGTTTGGATAAAGATACATAAATATAAATACTAGAAATAAGAAAGCAAAATTTGCAAATTAAGTTAGAGTTCAGATTGCATGAAAGATTATGTGAGAGAAAAGGAGAAATCAGATGAATGTGATTTTACCTACTAGAATTAAGGGAAGCTAGAAAATCTAGCTTTTCCAAACTGAAGCTTTTTTACATATGCTTCTTAAAAATTTTCTTTTTATAGAGATAGCCAAAGATCCAATTTTGTCAGAAAATTACGTGTTTGCTTTAAAAGCAGTAAAAACATTTTTCATAAGTAACGCCTACGACTCCCTTATTCATTAAATTAGGCCCCATTAAGAAGCTTATATGGCCATGACAATAATTTATGGGTTTTTCTATTATGGCAATTAAGAAGCATTGAGTTCTCTCTAACTATCTCCATTATCAAAGTTAGATGTGTAAAATTTTAATGATTTCAAAAATTTAACTGAAATTGATAATTCTAATCATCGTTGGATGTGTAAAATTTTAATGATTTTAAATTTTTTAACTAAAATTGATAATTCTTATCATCTACATGCAGCGGCTTAATATATTTTAATAATAATCTGAATCATTAAACGTGTACACAAATTTCTATGATAGTGGAACTAGTTAGAAACCATTAAAAGCTTCTTAACATGTGCCCTAAGGGCACACTACAGGAAAAAAACCCATACCTTATAAATTCAGCCAAAAAAACTTGCTGGAAATCAGGTGATGAATCGTACAGTACTGATAGCAGTGGAGAAATTAACATGGACAAGGACAGAGATAGTGGAATAGTACAAAGTATGCTTGATATGCAATCAAAATCAAGAGGAAATCAATGTTGATTAATTGCTGCAACTTCTTTAAACCCTTTCATAAATATTTATGCAAAAGACTTCGGTCATGTAAAGATGTCGAGGGCACACAAATACTTTGTTTTCAGATGTAGTGTATGACCTGTATTAAAGGTTGTATAATGCTACCATGTCTTGCAAAACTTAATGATTGAGATGCAAAGATTTTACAGGTTTGCATTGTTCACTTCTGTTACTCACAAATTATATGTTCACCTACAAAGAACAAGAAAGGGAGCGAAGGCAAATCACTACTTCATGCATGCTTAGTTATAGACATCTGACAGCCCATAGTAACTGTTAACCCCATTAAATACATCTAGGGATCAATTTAGGCCTTTCTCAAACCAAGATTTCAACAAAAAGCTTTTAAAAGGTATTAGCAGATATGAAATGGGGTAAAGCATTTTCTACTGCCTCACACATGGCTTCATAAGCCTTACCACACACAAATTTAAATCACCACTGCTTACCCTAAAACACAAATATTTTAAATGTACAATTTTGATTAAAACTTATAAACAAGATGAACGAAAATCAATGTACTAATCACACTGAGCAAATGTGATAATCACAAGATTCACACCCAATAAGAATTTGCAGAAATTAATATAAATTTAGAAGGGACATGCTGACTAGAAATATATATTATGATAAAACTACAAATACACAAAATCAGTGAGAAATTAATGCAAAAACGGTAACTAAGTGTACAATAAAATAACTACAATTAATCAAATGATTATAGCATGATTCTTCCAAGACATGAAAAAGGGTGATGAAATTACCATGAGAGCTCCCAAACTCAGTCCCTTGCCCTCTCTAGGCTCTCCATTACCAACTTAACGGTCTCCTTCAACAGATCCATCCCATGTATGTCGTGCTTCACCTCTGCCAACTTTTGCTTCTTAAGCTTCTTCTCCAAAGACCTCCCCTTTTCAGAATCAATTCTCTCAAGCGCCTCTGCTGCTGCCACGCTACTCTTCATCTTCATCACAGCATCCTTCAAGAAAGGGTACCCTCTCTTCAAACTCCTCCCTCCACATTCCACCAAAACCCCATTAGAATTCTTATTCACTGATCTCGCTCTCACCTTACTCTCATCATCATCCTTTCTCTGCCCCCAAACTTTCTTTGAAAGCTCATACACATTCTGATCGTGAACCTTTGCAAATTTGAGCGCCTTCTTGCTTTTCTTTTCGCGGGCATCCAAGCCTGAGTACTTCTTCTTCAGCCGCCTTATCTTCTCAACAAGCTGTGAATCACTAACCTCCAGGCTCAAAGAACCCTTAACCAAGGCATGGAATTCTCCTATAGCTGAGGCCTTAAGCTTTACGGGCCCATGTTGGGCCTCGAACTGGAGGAGGGCTTTGAGGATGGCGATCTCGTCGTCCAAGCTCCAGATTCTCTGGAATAAGGGCTTGCCGCCGTTTGATTTCTCGACAACAGGGGATTTGGAGACGGTGGATCGGATCTCGGGCATGGGCTTGGAGCTAATGGGGGTAACAAGCTTGGCCGCCTCGGAGTCCGATTCGGATTCGGACTCCGACTCGGATTCATCGGACTCAGCTGGAGCTTTGGATGGGACTGGAGTAGAGGTGGAGGGGTCAAGCTTCTTGTTGTCGGGTTCGGGTTCGGATTCAGATTCGGACTCGGATTCGTCGGATTCTGCTGGGGCTTCGGATGGGATTGCAGCGGAGGTGGAGGGATTGAGCTTCTTGCTGTCGGATTCGGGTTTCTCTTCCTCTTCATCGTCGCTGGATTCTCCGCTCTCGTCTTCGCCGTCGCCGTCGCCGTCGCCGGATTCATTGCCTTCATCGTCATCTCCGTCGCTGGATTCAACGCCCTCGTCTTTGCTGTTGGTTGGGATGCGAGGATCGGGCTCGTTGGTGGCCGGCTCCGCTTCGGAGGAGATCGACGGGGTTTTCGCCATTAGGGTTTTGAGTTAGGGTTTTTGAGGTTTCGCTTGTAAAATTTATATTTACAAATTGTGCCCCTTGACGCCTGAAGATTTGATAGGTAATAGTTCTGCAACGTGGGCCGTGATAATTCATTTAGCCAAATTGTTACAAGTCTTTAGGGCCTTCAAAACGTTGGGCCGTGCAAAATTGTTAACGAGTTATCCAAAAACCATGTGGCTAGCTATAGGGATGTGATTTGACATTTCGTTAGCCATTAATCTTGGTTAGAATTCTAAAAAAAGGGCTTAATTGGGCTAAAATATCCTATAGTTTTCTTTATTTTTGCACATATAAACCTTTTCGGCAGCAGTTATATATTTTAAAGTTTTTAGAATTTGCATTTAAATACCCTCAATCATTCAACACGAGAATCTCCTCCAAAAAAAATTCTCATCACATTTTAATTTTAGAGTTTTTAACCCTTGATATTTGTTAAATTTATTGTTAAAAGTACATGAATTCTATTTTAGATGTGATTTTAATAGGTTTAATAGTAAATTTAATAAATATTAACGGTTAAAATATTTTAAAATTAGCACATTCTCATGAGAATTTTCAGAGGAAGATACTTGCACTTGCATAACTGAGATTATTTAATCGCAAAATTTAAAAACATTAGGGCATATATGCGCAATCAATTACAGCTGAGGGTATATAATCTAAGTGTGAGGAAACAATATGCAAATAAGCGAAAAAAGTCATTTTCTCACATTTTCATATGCTAATCACATTTCATCACATTGTCAGTTTGGATTTATTTTTCAATGCAATTATAGCATGTTGCATTCAAATTCAAATACTACGGACCCCAAATATAACAACTTACACTCAACTATAACTATTCATTCACCAATTATGGCAACTCATCAGTATTTCAACTAAAATATAAGGATAAATTTTCAAATTCTACCCATTTAGAAAATTAATTGTCAAAAACAACATATTTCTAATTTAATTGCCAAAATCGACCCAGTTTCAGCCATTTGGCTGAAATTGGGTCAATTTTGACGAAATAATTTACGAAACTTCACGGGACTTCAAGTCCCGTGAAGTTTAGCACGTTGTTATTTACGAAAGTAAGGTGATTAAGAGGAGGAAAACATCATAAGACTTGAAGTCCCGTGAAGTTAGCGGGTACAAAACTTCACGGAACTTCAAGTCCCGTGAAGTTTTGGGCGCCCCTAATCAAGCCCGTTATCGGAGCTTAAACTTCACGGGACTTGAGGTCCCGTCAGGTTTCGTAAAGTTTTTTTTTTAAAACCGACCCAGTTTTAACGAACTGACTGAAACTGTGTCGATTTTGGCAATTAAATTAGAAATGAGTCGTTTTTGACAATTAAGTTTCTAAATAGATGGAATTTGAAAATTTGTCCAAAATATTACTGGGCTTTTAAAAAAATCAGTATAAATAGTTTGTGTTTAGGTACGGTTTTGGAATTGGGTGGGCACAAAAGTAAATCAGGATAAAGTTTGGGTTTGTTATAAAAGAAACCAATGAAACTCTTCATCCCAATTAGGCGCCAAAGCTTTGCCTCATGCTGGCTTCATCTGTCGTATCCTCGAAAGACAACAGCAGCAAAAATGGGCGGACGAAGTGATCGGCCTCTCAAAATTCAAGATCCAGCTACTCGCCCTAATATCCGAAGCTCGGCATCTCAGAGAGAGCGAACGAAACGCCAGAGAGGAGCTCGATCTCTCAAAGCAGGTACCAATTCTTTCCCGATCCGAAACCTATCAAACCCTAATTTCATCGAGCCGCTGCCTATCTCGCTCGCTTCAATTTCGAAAATATCTCAGAGGCAAAGGCAAATAGAATCAGAGTACGCAAAGAAATTGCAAGAATTGAGTGCTGAGCTCGCATCTCGTGATGAATCGCAGCGAAATCTCGAGGCCAAGGTCATCCAAATTTTCTCCAATTTCTCGAAATTTTTCTTAGAAATTTGATGATTCGTATATCGTGTTGTTACAAAGAGAGAAGTAAAGTTGAGATCTTGGATTTAATTTTTCACATTTCGTTTAGAGGTTGATGTTCCGTTTACAGGTGAAGTATCTGGAGCATGAGAATGCATTGCTGGAGAGTAGGGAGAGAGAATTGGAGGAAACTGTGAAAGGTTTGCTTCAGTCAAGGGACAGTTTCATAAGCGTCTATGAGGTTGTTTAGTTTGATGTTTTTTCTACACAAATTTTCTCTTTTCATCCACAATGCTGAGATTAAGTTTCAAGGGTAGTTATTTTTAGTACAATGTACGTTGTAGAATGATTTTATGTAAGGTATAATACTGAACTTGAAGATTATATGCTTTAAGGTCTGTTTTCAATTCTTCACCTTTTTGGCAAAAAAATGTTATAGTCAAAGTATTCTTCATCATGTTAGGTAGAATAATTAGATTTCTAGAATAGTTTTGGCATTTACGTAGAGAGATCTAGTTAGAGATATGATTCTGAAATATTAAAACCGGACAGGGAAACATGGAAGGTCTACTGGGAGCAAACATTATCCATGAAACTTGAGCTAGTGATGTATAATAATCAGTGAGTTTTATTTTGACTATTTGCTATCATCTTAGATACTTGGTTAAGATTATGTATAGCAAGGACTTGCGTTTGGTGCATTATGAAGATTCATTTGGACTATTTGATGTCTCCCTACGCAGCCCTTAATTCCATCTTTTCTTAAGCCCTAATATTTCCTTTTGGACATGCTTCTGTTTACTAGCTAATTTCAAATAACCTTCATTGGATGTTATCACTTGTCATGACATTTTGAATCTAAGTATCATGTTAATTCAAGGTTCCTTTCAAAAACTTTCAATTAGAGCCCAGCGTGACACATGGAATTAATTTTTTTATGAAGTGGTTGCCTTCAATATAGTTCTATACAAAATACATTTTGATAATGACATCAAATAGCATATTTGATTTAAGTCAACTGATTTCTCTATTGTTTTCAATCTTGAGATCCAGGATTCTACCTATACACTAAGATGCGCCATTGAAACAAGGGATAAAAGGCTTGCTGTTCTTTCAGAGAAGATACAGGCACATTTGTTACTATTTGACTCAATAGAGAAGGAAACTGCAGCTGTCCAGCAAGTCCTAGATAGAGTTCAGGAACTTGTAAATGAAAAGGAATATGTAGGCATGTAGTCTGCTGACTCTATGTAAATACATACATGATATAAGGTTATTTTGGAATCAACAAGCATTGGTAGCATCAATTTCTCTTTCATGTTATTTACGATATGGCTCTACTAAACTTTTTGTCTTCCAGTGATAGGATTAAAGGCCAAAACAGACAAGATCTCATCATTTGAGAAAGATTTCGGTGGTGAGCTTGGCAGTTTGTCGTCTCTTTAATTTTTCATGTTAGAATAAACTTTTTGCATGTATTTATACTTTTTAGTTTTCTAAGTACCCTCCAAGATGTTTTTTCTCTTTATTATTGTTTGTTCATTATTCATGCAAATGAAATCATTAAATTTCGACATTATATCTGTATCTTGACCGAAAAACCTGTAACACAAGTATTCATTATTGTCTGTTCAGTAATAAATACTTACATGTTTCATGAATATGTGAGGGTCCTGTCTCACACAGGAGGAGATAAATGCACAAAGGCAACTCTAGTTTAATCATAGTTTTAGGAAAGTACCCTATTCAGTATTTTTCCAAAAAGAAATTTGGATGAAAAATACACAGTTATGTAATTGCTGTGTGTGCTACTGGCTGGTAGGCAAATGGTATTTACACTCTAAAGATCCTTGTTCTCCACATGTTCCATTGCAGAGAAGATTTGTGTCCTTGAAAGAAAGCTTTGTGACTATCAGCATGAGATTCGAAGAAGGAATGCTATCATTGTAGACCTGAAAGAGCATCTTGAAGTGCAAAAAGCTAATTGCCATTTTCAACCACAAATTGAAGAGATATCCATTTTTTTTGTTCGTTTTATATTTGTTTTTTGGACACTACATCTAATTCGCTCTATGTAGCCAACTGTTTTACCTTAATGACATTACCTCCAGAAAGCGCTGTCAGCTAAGGAAGAAGCAATACAAACTTTAACTTCTGAGAAGGAGGTTGTCGATTACATCTGACTACACTTGTCCTATAATTTTTAACATTTCTCATACAGACAAATAATATTGCTCCATATGCAGGCATTGCATCTTGAGCTACAGAACTTGGAAATTAGCCTCCAAAAGATTCAGGATGTGGTTACCAACACAAACATGGAGGTTTGGAAATAAATCTAAGTTATTATGTACTTCTGACATTCAAAGAACAATGAGAAACTCTTTTTTCTCAAATTGATAAAGCTTAAATATAATTGATAATGTACCTCTGACATTCAGACAATGACTAGCACCTTTTTCTCTGATTGATAAAACTTGAATCTATTAATATCCTTTCTTAGAGATCTTTTTCTGAAGTCTTATATGAACATAGAATGAATACCCATGAAATGGAAGGGAAAATTCCATAGGATAGCTATAATACTGTCAATCCTTTACAATAGGAATGTTGGACAATTAAGAAACATGTGCAAAATTTGTATAGCAGAAATGAGAATGTTACCATGGTCACGTGGACATCCACTAAGAAATATGATGAGCAAATTAGTTCATTTGGAGAGGTTAGATGTTGCTGCTATTAAGGATGAAATGAGAGAGAATTGATTGAGATGGTCTGGTCATGTACAACAAAACTTAAAGTGGCAAAGTGGACTAGAGATGGGTCACTTAAAAGTGGCAAAGTGGACTAGAGATAGGTCTAAGAGAACTTGTTCAGAAACAATAAGAAGGATATGCTAATATTTAAGTTAACGGAAGAAAAGGCCTTGAACAGAACTGAATGGAAGAAAAGGATTCAGGTAGCCAATGCCAAAAAATTGGGATGAAAGCTTTATTGTTATTGTTGTTGTTGTTTCTCAGAGACCTTTGTCTTTGTGTATTTATTGTTGCTTAAATTTTCAGGATAAGGATGAACTCTCTCCTGGGGAGGAAGATCAAGAAGCATGCAGAATGGTTAATAGGGAAGAAAATGGAAAGTAAGGTTTATATGGTTTGATATTAAATTTGTCATCTTTTTTCCTTCTTCCTGAACTCCTGGCCTACGAGAATTTGAAGGGACTTCTTGTTGGTTGCATGAGCTTAAAATGCATGACCGACATGCTAGGTTTCTTTCCAACTACCTGAAGACTACCCTTTTAGGAATTGTGGCAAGTCCCCAGTTCCCATGATTTCCATGACCCATGGTTGGGCATCAACTTAGCCTTGGGCTCCACAGCCTACTCCATCTTGATGGGAAAAGGCAATAACAATATGGTGACGATTATAAATAAGTTTTATTTGTTACTTGCATCAGCTTGGAGAACATCTTTCAGGAACGTGGAGAAGATATTGCGAAACAAAGTCCAGTTGGATGTGCTACAGAAAATGCAGGTTCCCCTTGTATCAAACCTTATGCTGTGCAGACGACTTTACTGTACTGTCTGTTTGTCTGTATTATGTGAAATAGTA